AAGTGTTTCAGGGCGCCTTTTACGCATTTTCTTTGACAGGTGTCATCACGAAAACGAGCCTCTTCGGCGATTTGTAGGTGCATTTAGGAGGCCTTAAACTACGTCAAAAACGACCCGGATACCGCAGCCATCGCCGCTAAAAACACACAGAAACTTTCAAACAGCTCTAAAAATGGAGAACTATGTCCATCTAGCGGAAAACATATCATGTCTTTCCAAAGGCGTTGATCAAGCAAACAGCAAACGCTACATAGTGTGCTGCCATCTATGAGGCAATGTCAGAATCTTTATGGCTTGCCGAATGGCGACCGCGTGGCATGTATCTTGCAGGACATGTGACTATTGCTTTACACCAAATACATGTATGTACCATTCGCATGCGCGCTCTGGTACATTCTACTGTGTGCGTGTGTTTGCGCGTGTGTGCGTGTATGTAACGAAGCAATAATAACTATGCACTTAGCGGTTGAAGGGCACACTAGAGGCTGGATTTCGATATCGCGTTCAACTCTTAAAGGAGAAGCTTAAGGGTTCCCCGTTTTTTTCTTTGATAGAACTTATTACAAATGTGCGAATTGTACAACATAGCGAACAAAATGCCTAAGTGAGTTTTTATAATCGGAATGTAAACGTTGCAATGAGGTTTTAAACAGCAATGTCTTTAAAAAAGGAATCAGTGCAATGCCTTTCCCGAACAGTGTATACTAGTCTGGCTGCAGTTCTAGGTATTTAGAAAAGTTCGGATGCGGGACCGAATGCGCAATCGGTCCCGCATTCCTGTCTAAGGAGCAAGTTATCTATAAGCTCTGCATTCTCGTTAGTAAAACCTTGTCAACAAGCAGAATTGTTTTGGGTGGCACAAGATAACACATGCCATGAGAATTTAAATACAAACCCTTTGCTAGACGTTCCTTCAAAGAATGACAGCCTTACAGATTATGAAACAATGTTCTATACCCTCTGCAACTGCACAGAGGCGGAAATTATTTGAAGATACAAAAATGCCTATGCCGTTTAACCAGGTCTTCACAGGTAGGGCATTTTTGTGTGCACTTTAAAGACAAACGATTCGTATATTGGTTAAACTATCATTTTATTCACCCATACAAGCACGTCATGTCCCTGTTTTCATTAAATTATATCAGTAAAATAGCGAATGAAATCACATATCTAATATCTCATTACGTAGGTCTATCCTTGAAATAGAAAACAAATATATATTTAATAATCTGACTCTCTGAAAACTCACTGATTTGTACACCGAACACATAAATTCTTGAAAATCGGGGAGTGGGACAGAGTTATCGGGCACAACTAAACTTGAGAAGACATCGGCAGGGTAGACTTCCAAGAATGATCGAGGCAGCGGATAAGCGCAGTCTTGAAAGTAGAAGAAACGAGACACTATTTGTCTAACAGAGAGGTGCACTAATCCAAATCCACCTGCGCAAACTTGTCTAAGAACACTGTCACTTCTCATTGACTCATAGTTTGTTGACCAAATAAAGGTAACAAATATTAGCCAAAACCTTTGAAGATACACCCCGGAGAAATTGAGTACTTGCAGTACACACAATACTTGTGTTCCCAGAAATAAATTACGTGCTGTAGCTCTGCCAGATATTGAAAGGTCGTGGTTTATAAATGTTTACTGGTGTCACAAAACGAGCGCTCAAAAGGGGCGCGCCGCCAAATTCTCGCGACGAAACGCCGGAGTGACGCCGCGAGGCCAACGATAAAAAAAAGAAGAAAACAAACATCCAAAGACTCCCGGGCGAGCGACTCTCTCCCCTCGGAAGCGTGGGTTCGCCGACGAACCTCCTCTCATCGGCGCCCGAGCAAGCACTCGGATGTTCTAGACGGAAAGGGGCGTGGTGATGCCGGGTTGAGTCATCCGTCGCGGACGGCCCTCGTATCGTCTCGACCTTTCCCCCAGCCTTCGCTGCGCATCGCGCCGACGAAATAATGAGAACTTTCTGGAATCTCGCGCGGAAGGTATTGAATCGAGCAGCCGAGACGAGAGATCAGGAGAAGACAGAAGTTAGCGCCAGAGCGCGTAGGGATTCCGCTGTGTAGTCGGCGAAGGTTTTGTCCGTAGAGACAAAGCAGGAGAAAAAGATGATTTCCCCCTGAGGAGTGACGACTCGAGCTACAGGCAAGAGCGTGTGTTTACCGCTATCGAGCGAAGACGCGTGGCAACAGCTGCGTGTGTGAAGCCGACGTGTTTCCGGCGAAGAAGTTTGAAGCTTGGAGAGTGGCCAATTGAAGACGCGAGGTTTCCTGGAAGAGAACCTTCGGCGAGGTTTCCTGAAAGAGAAACTTCAGGGGCAGCGGAACGACAACAACGCTGGACTTTGAGTGAGTGATTCTCGGAAGAGTATCCTCCAGACTTTTGTTCCAAGAACTTTGGACCGAATAGGTTTCCTATCTCTTTAGTCTTTAAGTGTCTTGGTTGTTGAATGCATGCGACTGCAATGTAGTGCGTAATGTTGTCTGTGTCCGTTATTTCGAGTGTGGCTGATTGTACTGTGTAGTACGTTGCTTGATTGGTGACATATTGTATGCAACTATTGTGGAGTGTGCATACTTGTATATTGTTTTTTTTATCTGCCATTAATGAGAATATAATTTTGTTTGTTTATCAACTCTCGGCTCTGACTTGTTCTTTGTGCCACAGCCGGCGTCCGCTGGCGCGCCAAAAAGGACCACTTCTAAATTGTCCACGCTTTCAAGGTGCGGTTCGGGGGGCCGATACTTCGGCCCTTGGAATTAGCCCGGCGATCGCCTCCCGAATTAACGGGACCAGTGACAACTGGGCATAACATTTAAGGTCGATATACGTTCTTCCTAATAATGTGTGCTTGTCTTATATACATACAATGAAACGCCAAGGTATTTTGGCAGTACACAGTACCATGCTCGAAATCTGTTGGTTTACAAGTGCATGGGCCATACCGGATTCCCGAATTCTTAGCAAAATTGATCCGTGCAGCAAAATAGGTTCCAAACTCTTCAATTGTGGACACCACTGTTTTTTACTGAAATTGTTTCTACAAAATAATGCCAGGTCATCCGCATACGCTAATACTTCGAAACTCATTACCATAAACACTGAAAGCCTTCACTTGGTATGGTGTGATCACGCTTAAGCACAGTGCTTCCGGGTGGAAAAAGCTCCAGGCCTGCACGGAAGGAGCAGAACAATCACAACGAAAGCATGCAGTGGCTTTCAAAGCCTCTCTGAACACTGTTGGAAAATTGCTTGAAGCACAGATGCAAGGTATCCACTACGACATAAATATTCATAACTTCTACAGAGTAAGCCCACATTCACTATGCATGCTATCCTTCGTCATTTTTTGGAGAATCCTAGTATCCGCTAAACACGTGGAACGAGTTTTGTGTTGAATTCAGCGGCTGACGACGATGAAGAATTGCCCGTGAAGTGAGTATGGGCCACAGTTAGTGGGTAATGAAAAACAAGCTTTTGTAATGTGTTGTAGCATTGGACGACCCACTTGTTGCGCGATTTGCATTGTGTGAAACCTGGTTTTTCCTCTGTCAATATAAAACTCCTTATTACTCGTATTAGCGCGATATCTTTTGCCGACATCAAACCGACCTAGAGCAAGTTTGCAAACGAGTACTCAGCACCGGTGTGGCTCAGTGGTAAAATACTCGGCTGGCACGCTGTGAGCACTGGTTTTAATCTGACTATGACAATACATGTCCTTGATGTTCTTTATTAGAGTTTTTTTTTTTGTTTCGTGTGATAACTATTACGAACACAGGCGGTGGCAGCCGCGGACAACTACGGTTCTGCGGCTCTGCGCGTAACCCGTGTTGCGATTCCCTAACAGCTTTCGCTGTAGAAGCACTTTCTGGATGGACATTTCTTCTTTAATTACATGGTGTTTGATCCGCTACGACTTGAAATGCTGTGCTACCTTTGTGTTCTGTGTGAAACAGCTTCGCTCATTATACCTCTTCAAGAAGTGCAATGACTGCTCGAGTTTTTAAACAAAATAAAGGGTGCCATATGATGATGATGATATCTCGCTGCTCTTTTTTCGACGTTTTCTGCACAAGAGGTTGCCACAGTATGGAAGAAAATGTGTTCAATAGTTCTATACATTTGGCAAATGGGCCGTTTGCTGAGAAACTAGATTCATTTATTACGAAAAGAGGCCTCATGTGGGGCAGCTGTTTACTCTATATTCCTTCCCAAGTGTTGTACACTTCGCAACCAGCCTTACAGCTCTGCTCAAAGAAAGTTGACCACGCAGAGCTACAATTAGGATGCGTGAGCAGTTCAAATTTTTTCATGGTAGCAACAATCGCGTGAGCATCTCAAATTTTGCATGGCGTCAGCAGAGAAAATGTCACTTGCTCCCGACTGCCAGTTGTCTTCTTCAGTATGCAAGCAATAAAGCCACTCCCTCCCCCCCCAACCCCTCGTGTCCAGAGGCTTTCACCTCTCCGACCATTCCATCTCCATTAGTCGAAAGAAGCGAAACGTTCGCTTCATCTTTGCAAGTGTGCCTGGCAGTTGTTTTTGGCCTGCGTTTGAACACAAATATCTCCCTGTGTACCAAACCAAGCGACTCCGTGATCATTACGACGCTGCAGCTCATTTTGAGAAAACGCCGACAAGCTGAAATTATATTGCTTTCAAATTGGCTGCCTTCTTGCGAACCCTTTATGAGCCAATCTCATTCAATTGGGATATTGTGCTAGAAATAGTTATGCTTTTCCCTCTCTTTCTAAAGTACCGTACCATGCAGTGTACTGCATCAAAATTTTCTTCCTGAGCGTATATGACTCCGCCAGAAGTATACGGCTAAATGGGCACGCGTGTCTTTGTTTAGGAAGCACGGCCGACAATAACGATAGCAATTCGTGGCTGATCATGGATCCTTTATTTGTGGCTACGGACTGAAATAAGTTTGACTGGACGTGTATTCTGCAATACGTAATGCACTGCCTTTTTTTCTTTGCAGCTGGGGCATCCTGTTCTCGCATCCATCGGATTTCACCCCGGTGTGCACCACCGAGCTGGGCGCAATGGCGAAGATCCACTCCGACTTCGAGAAGCACAACATCCGCGTCATCGCCCTATCTTGCAACTCTCTCGAGTCACATAAGATGTGGATCAAGGTGGGCCATTTTCACGGACCTCATTGCTCGTTTTCTGAAATTGAATATCAGCTGGATTTTCAACTTACAAACTTGTTTATTATATTCAGCTGGTTTTACAGGCTGTGAAATCTTATGACAATATATCGTCTCCCTATGTACAGCTTGCTATTCTGAGACGCTAGGCAAGAAGAGTAGTTACAGTCGTGGACAGTTTAAAATTACATTTGAACCCCTTAGTAACGAAAGTCGTAAAGAGAGAACTTATCGCCAAAGAGAACAAATTTGGTCTCTCTGGCGAATGTCCAGACATTGGAATGCACTTGCCACATCTCGGCAGAAAAGAAACATTAAATAGCACTCGTGCTATGCCGAAAGTTTTAGGCAGGGATCCTTCATCTGTTTTGTCAACTAAGAGCTAGCTGTGAAACCAGAAGTTTAAGAATTGCTGCGACGCTTATTGGACAAATAGAGTCCATACACTATGGCCAAGAAGCATCGGTGTCACTATTGCTTTCAGATTTGCCAGTTGTGCTTAAAATAAACAAACCTGAGCTTCTTTCTTTGCCGACTCACCCGGAGGAGTTGACAGCCGCCTGCGGTGTTTTTGGGGTGCCTTACATGCATTTTCCCAACAAACGTAGTTATTTCAGGAGCCATCACATTCATCTGTGTGCATTTTTCGTTCTCTAATAGCTCGCTTGCGGATCTTTAAAGTAGTTAAGTGTTGAAGTCGAACATACCTTCCTCTGTGACTGTGAGCACATGGCACTAGCGACGAAGTGCACTCCCTCGAAGTGCACTTAAGTTGCCCTGCATGACAAGGGTGTCACTCAAGCACTGGCAGACGTGCCTGCAAACACATGAACACTAACTTGGCGAGAAATCCTAAAATCAACTACACGCGTTCGTTCATTTCTGGAGCTCTCCTCTACGACGTCTCTCATAATCATGTGGTGGTTTTGTGACGTTAAACCCCACAAATCAATCAATAAATCTTACTGCACCGGCTTGGTCTGCACCATGTTGGTTTGTGGTGAATGGCCTCCCGGCGGTGAGGCTCCGTCACTCCTCGAACAGCCATCGCATACCGCTGAGCGATAAGCCGGAGCGATTGGAGAGCATCCACCGGAGCAAAAGTGATGCGCAGGAGCATTTCCGGAGCAAAAACGAGAGCATAATCATAGGATTGGCCCCGTTTTCCTCCAGTTTCCTTCGTGCGGCACCCACCGGAGGAACGGTAGAAAACGAATTTGCTCCGGTACCATCCCGTTTAGGTGAGGCCACCGGAGCAGAGCGGGCACATCATTCGCCGATTCCTCCTAGCTGGGTATATTTTTGTTTACAGTGTATAAGCAACACACTTGCATCTTATTCAGATATTTGAGTGTGCATAACATTTCCACTTGTGTTTACTGCGTACTACATCTATGCGCCTTGTAACATTGTGGTGATTTTAAAGTGAGATATCAACCATCATTCGTGCTTCGCATATCATCAATTCCCACTGCACGTGAGATCTTCTCATTTTTTAACGAGTCAATACCGGTGGCCTTGATGCTGATCAATCCGAGAGAGCCGCCACTGAAGAGGGCGAGGATTGTGTGAGCTGTTAGGAGGGATCATACACGGGACAATGTATAGTGATAAAGAGTGAACCAACCAGCCAGCATTTTTTGCCTTATGTACGTTACACTATAGTTCCCGCAACCTAATCTATCTGAAACACCCAGGACATCATCGCGTTCAACGACCTGCGCATGAACAACCTGCCATTTCCCATTATATCGGACGAGAAACGCGAGCTGGCCGTGCAACTTGGCATGCTGGATCCCATCGACAAGGACACCGAGGGCATACCTCTTACATGCAGGGCGGTGCGTATACGTGTCTTCAATGTAAAGGTGTCCGCGTAGGACAGTTACCCTGCAAATGCAGTGCGGGCACATTTTTCACGCCTCTATATTTTGCCATGTAGTGTTTTTATAATAGTTAGTCGATTTTCACGTTAGTATTGTAATAAACTCCATTTGCGACCATTTCACAAGAAAAAATCTTGTGGACAAAATGTTTTGCAGACATTGTAAACCTCAACGAAAGGGTGCTTCAGTTATATAATGTGTGGCATTCAACTTTGCCGAAATACATTTTCTTGTAGTAAACTAGAAATGCCTCTTCATGTGAAAGCAACTGAAACACACGCCAACTTGTGTCGGGCAAATATATACAGACATATTAGTTCTCAACTTGAAAGATAACGCGCCTTGTTTCTTAGTGTAGCTTTCTGTCTGATGCCCCGTAAACAGATTTCGTGCAAAACAAGACGCGTTTAGATTTGTTGGTCAAAATCAATTGATGTATTACATCAGCGAACTCGGTAGCAGCAGAACTGGGATAAAAGCACGCTTCATTGATGGCGTACAATTCGTTATCATGATAGGATGCTTTTCTGCACGCATTAACCACACCAAATATTTCGATCGTACCAAGGCCAGGTCAGACGCTTTAAGATTAATGCTATAGAAATACGACGGCGCTTCATCAAAAAGAAGAATATCAGAAGCAGTTTGGATGAACAAAACCAGAATTTCAACAGTTTTACCCCGTATTTTTGAGAACACATTAGGCGGAGCTAATACATTATGGTTACCAAATTACAAGCGAATCCTTTTTTTTTGTTTTTACAGCATTCTGCACTACAGATAGCTTTTTTTTGCAGGTGCACCCAAAGCACGGCTTATTATCACCTTTTCATTGTACCAGCATTCAACAGCAACAGTACTGTGCGGAACTGAAAACCGTGACTTCGACCGTTACAGTAAAGCTTTACATATCCCCACTGACTGTGGCGGGTCATGTTGTCTGTTTGTTTTAGAAATTTGAGAGCCACATTTTGAAAGGGCCCAATGCTCCAACGTAGCTTCTAATCAATACAGTTGAAGTGCATTGTCATCGGTGGATGTTATTGAATTAGCATACGCCGTCTCAAAAATTTCATTAAGCCAACGTCGTGAAAATACGCAAAATACATTGTGGAATTTGTTCCATCACGCGCGAAGATTACGGCCAGAAATTCAAAAACTAAACTTCTACCTTGAGTTTCTCCGCTAATAAACTTCTGACAGTGAAACTTATGATATCAGAGTTCTCAGTGTTCAGTTTATCAATCTAAAACTCTAAATTGAAATTTAAATCATAATCGTTTCTTCTTAGTGCTCACTTAAGACATACGTGATTGTTCTGAATAATTCGAATGTTATTTACAACTCAATCTTCATTGTGATACTTGGTAAGCGAGGAAACGAGAGAAAACAAACCGCGGTTAGAGACGCCACCTTCACACTCCCGTACCAGACACTGTGCCAACATACATTTTGAAAGGGTCCACTGGTCAAACGTAGCTTCTAATCAATACTATTGAAGTGCATTGTCATCGATGAATGTCAAAGACTTAAGATGCGCCATTTCAGAAAGTTTAATCCAGCCGACGTCGTGAAAATGCGCAAAATACATTGTAAAATTTGTACCGTCACGTGCGAAGATTACGGCCCGAAACTTAAAAACTTAAGTTTTACCTTGCGTTTCTTCGCTAATGATGGACTTATGACAGTGAAACTTATGATATCACAGTTCTCAGAGTTCAGTTTATCAATCTAAAACTCTAAATTGAAGTCTAAGTCTTAATCGTTTTTTCTTAATGCTCATTTAAGACAAACGTGATGGTTCTGAATGATTTGAATGTTATTTACAACTCAATCTTCATTGTGATACTTCGTAAGCTAGGAAACGCGAGAAATAAACCGCGGTTAGAAACGCCACCTTCACACTCCTGTACCAGACGCTGTGCCAACATACATTTTGAAAGGGTCCACTGGTCCAACGAAGCTTCTAATCAATACAATTGAAGTGCATTGTCATCGATGTATGTCAGAGACTTGGGATGCGCCGTTTCAGAAAGTTTAATCGTAGCCAACGTCGTGAAAAGACGCAAAATACATTGGGAAATTTGTACGATCACGCGCGAAGATTACGGCCCGAAATTTAAAAACTAAAGTTCTACCTTGAGTTTCTTCGCTAATTATGAACTTATGACAGTGAAACTTATGATATCACAGTTCTCAGAGTTCAGTTTATCAACCTAAAACTATAAATTCAAATCTAAATCTTAATCGCTTCTTTTTAGTGTCTATTTAAGACATACGTGATGGTTCTGAATGAATAGAATGGTAATTACAACGCAATCTCGATTGTCCTATACCTAATTGACTGTTTTTGCGTCTTTTTTTACCCTTAAAGGTGTTCATCATCGCACCTGACAAGAAACTGAAGCTCTCTATGCTGTATCCAGCCACCAGTGGCAGAAACTTTCCGTAAGTATGTACTCGTAATATTGTAGGGCAACTCCTTTAATTACATAAAGAATTTAGCATTGCCACAGCTCCCGTCTATTTATGCATGCCAATTGAACTGCACACACACACACACACACACACACACACACATATATATATATATATATATATATATATATATATATATTCAGAAAAATTGTGGACTCAAGGTGAACCACGAGTTAATTATCTAGACAAGTACATTTCAGCCGTCCAACGTGATATAATCAGGGAATATGAAAAGCACCGACCCATTCGTAACAATCTGTCCAAGGAGGAGTGGGAGGCTTTGCACAGTTTAAGTGACAGCCATGGCATCATTATCAAACCTGCTGATAAGGGTGGTGCTGTAGTTGTTCTCGACAGGACTGACTACATCAAAGAAGGACTTCGCCCACTGGCAGATGGAAATTTCTATAAAGAACTCCCTTGTGATCCGACAGAGGAATATGAAAGTACAAGCAAGGCCTCACTAATATCATTACGTAAGTGTGGTAACATAACGTATCCTATGCTTAAAATGATTTCACCTGGCAACTCGTCTCCTGGGCGCTCCCATATACTACCCAAAATTTATAGGATTAACAATCCCGGCCGACCTATAGTTTCCAGCAACGGCACTGCTACTGAAAAAACCTCGTTTCATTGACTCTCTCTATAAGCACATTCCTCAATCATTCTCATCATACATTAAAGATACCAGCTCTTCCGTCGACAAGTCTCCAAACTTTATGCGCCTCTATAATGCTATTTGGTCACCATGGATGTCTCATCACTGTACATAAACATTCCCCACACCGAAGGAATCGCCGCCACAATCACCACCTATGGAAAAAGTAAATCAGCGAGTGAGTTCGACGAAGGCTCTTTAGAGGTGCTCCTAAATCTTGTACTTTAACATAACAACTGAATTTGACCAAAAACATTACCTACAAGTGAACGGAACTGCCATGGAAACCAAAATGGCCTCAAATTACGCAAATATTTTCATGGCCTTTTTGGAGATTCCTTTCCTCAAAAATTCTTCATTCAAACCAATATTCTACCAACGTTTCCTTGATGATATATTCTTCGTGTGGGCTCATGACGAGCATATTCTTTCCAAATTGATTTCCGATTTCAACTCCGTGCATGATTCGATAACCTTCACGCACACGTATTCGCAGAAGTGTCCACTTCCTTGATGTCACTGTATCACTCAGTTGCACCACGATATCTACTTCCTTGTATAAAAAAACCAACTGACCACCAACAGTATCTCCGTTTCCACAGCAGCCACCCCCCTCACTGCAAAACAGGTGTTCCTTACTCTCAAGCCCACAGGTACAGAAGAATTTGCTCTGAAATTACGCAATGCGTCACCCACGCACAGGAATCAAGAACAGCCTTCTTGCGTCTAAAGTACCCCGAAAAAATGACTGGCAATGCAATTGAGCGTGCTCGCTCTTTGGACCGAGAGTCAACAATGGGAGAAATAAGCGGAAATAAAGATATAATGTCACGGGCCAATTTAATCTTCACATACCCCACCGCCGCCCCTCGGGTGAATTCTACACTAAGCCGCCACTTTAACATACCTAAACAGAGTAGTCGCCTCTCTGCCGTTTTTCAGACTCCACCTAAGGTTGTTTACCGAAGAAATAAAAACCTGAGAAACTAACTGGTCAGGGTCAAAACACACAAATCTGACCACTATCAGGGGTGAACCGTGTGGGAAACCTCGCTGCAGAGTGTGCACACGCATGGTGACCACAAATACGGCCGAAGCCTCCTGTTCAGACTTGTGTACAAAATTAAAAACTACCTTAACTGTGACTCAGCCGATTTGGTATACGAAGTTCGCTGTGAGGTGTGAAAACAGGAATATACTGGACAAACGGAAACCACGTTCCGTTTGCGCTTCAACAACCACAGGGCACACGTAAAGGGCCTCCCCAATTTTCCGTTCTCCGAACATATCAACCTCCAAGGCAACTCTTTCGAACGCGTAAGTGTTATACTGCTACGATCCGGCCTCCAGATCACACGGGTGTGCGAGTAGTGGGAGTCTTACTTGATACAGAAATTCAAATCACTTACCCACGAAATCAACCAGAGCCCTGGGCGACTGATGTGCCTCCGCGAAGTTTCGTGAAACACAGACAGCGAATTACTCAATTTATTTACACATACATAAAGTCGCCCACATAGGATGATCAACCTAGTGCTTGAAAATAAACGAATTCGATGCTACGTGCATCAACCGGCACGTGTTTGCATTATTAATTTATTTATTTTTAAGCACTTTTTATTCCTTTGTTAATGTTTTTGTTTGTTCATTTCCTAAAGAATATAGATTTATTTATTTTGAGTATGACTTGTTATACACTTTTCTACAAGAGAGGCCAGATGGGGGAGAGGGCATATTTGGCTTTGCATTGTGGCTAATGTGTTCCTGAAGCTGGAGTGAGCCGTATGTTTCTTATTTGTGTGTGTGTGGCCCGACCACGTGAACTTTAACTCGATCCATGTGTGGGATGCGAGTAAGCGGAAATATGTTTCACTTTTCTCCTTTTTCTTGGTCGCCACCTCTACAGGCGCGTCTTATCTACCTTTAGTTATAATTACACACCTGCTTCTGGCGGCTCTCCGTCGCTCCTTTATTCTTCTTCTTCTTCTTCTTCTCCTTCTCTGTCGCTTGCCTCGTTAGCCCAGTTTCCTCGTTTTTCTTCTTTCTTTCTTTTCTTTTTTCTTTTCGTTTGGTCCTCCAAACTGTGAGGGTGGCTCCGGCTACGGGAACCTGTATCATTTCACCAAGATCGGTCCACCAGCCGAAACTGTTAGTAATAAATAAATAAATGATTTTTTGTGTCCTATACTGCCCTATTCTCAGAGTTTGTGATATATATATATATATATATATATATATATATATATATATATATATATATATATATATATATATATATATATATATAAATATATATCAATTTTCAATTTACTCTGTCCAGTCTCGAGCTCCTTCTTGTAAACAAAGCAATCTGGTGGTGCTCTTGATAAAATGATGCAGGCATAATGAAACACGATTATGCCTATTACTACAATAAGCGACTTGATAACCACTCAACGGTAAAAAATACAACCAAAAATGTGTCATCGCTTTTAGGAGCTTATGAGGGTCGCTTATTTTGCAGAGAATTGTTTCGAGCGGTGGCATCCCTGAAGCTCACGGAGGAGAAGAAGGTGGCTACCCCGGCCAATTGGATGGTGAGCGTGCGTCATAATTTTGGTATAAAATGGCTCTGCATGCAAATCCTAACGCAGGAGAGAAGTCAGGACAACAGAAATGGTGTTCGTGGTGTATTGTTTTCATTATTGTTCCCGTGCCTGCACGCCCAATCTTTTACCACAAATACGTACTAACTAGATCTGCTCTCTGTTATTCCAAGATAATTTTCAAGAGGGTGCGTATCATTGCTTGGTGTTTTAGACGAGGAAAGCGAGTAATACCACAATAATGCACACATTAACGAGCCGTATAATGGAAGGTGATGAAGTAACAGTGACGTACGCACGCACGCACGGAGACAGACACAGAAACATACCGACACAAACACACGCACGCAGTCACATACACACTTGAACACACACTGACACACACACCAATATATGCACTCACACTCACACGCAGACAGATAGTGATCTGCAAACGCGCACACACGTGCGCACGCAAGCACACGCACAGACGCGCACGCACGTTATCGGTGGTCATTACTAGCCTTAATCGTTATGTGCCGTTCAGAAGTGTGCAGTACACGTGGCCTGCACATTACGGAATGTAGGGAAACTCGCTATGGAGACTGCCAGCTTGTCTTTCTGTTGAACAAATGCGCACACAACAGAGACAACGACGAACGGAAAATGTACGAACAAGGCGTCCTTCCTGCGTTACTCAGACCGAAATGGTGAGGGTTACCACAAAACGCTCAACTAGCTCTACCTTTTTCTTCTCACATGTAGATGAAAATTTTTCCATGTGCGTGCCATAAAATCCAGGATCGTAGCCATAGCTAATTCATCGTAAAATGGTAGAGATCAAATCGTGGCCCGCCTCATTTGTCTTCGCTGTGCTCCTTCATATGCTGTAATTTTTTAGAAACTTGATTTATTTATTGGCTTCCTTGGTGCAAGATTCTCGATTCACGTTTTTTTTTGCTGTTATTGCGATTGTTCACACATTTCTATTGCGGCATTGTTTTGCGAACTCCTCAACATCTTGAAATGTTAATGCGCTATACATCGTAGTTTATTTTCTTGTTCGTGTATTGTAAATATGTAACCGTATGAAACTACCTGGGTTCTTTGAAACTGTAATTGAACATCGATATTTTCTATTCTTTAGCGTACTTTGCGTATTTGCAGCCGGGTGAGCCGTGCATGGTGATTCCGAGCGTGAAAGACGAAGAGATCCCACTGCTGTTCCCCAAGGGCGTGACATCCTACAATGTGCCATCGGGCAGAAAGTACATCCGTGTCACCCCCCAGCCTGATCCATGACTTGGCTGTGGACGGGCGCACCATTTACTGCATCACAGGCACCATGTTACTGCATCAACTCACAGGGAACATTCCCGAACGCTTAGACAACTTCACATAGCCAATCCTGTAGTATGCACACTGCTTACTTCATGGGCTTGCTTCAAATTGTACCCGCGCTGAAAAGAAGCAGCAATAAACTCGATTCAGGTAACTGGCCATACATATCCCATGCGCGTCACCATTCTATGCTGTCCGCTAGCTTCAAAGTTATATCTGCGTTATATTCAAGCAACCTGGGGCTGAACTTCTTCCACGATCACACCAAATTTTATGAGAGATAAGATTTGAGTAATGCAAGTGCGAAGAGAATGATTCATGGATGCGTGTGCCGTTAAACCGAGACATGCTTTTGAAAAGAGCTCTGTTTAAACAAGGCTGGTTTGTGAAATTAAGTATCAACAAATACACAAACAAAAATTCCAGAGGTTCAATGAACTGTCAAGCTGACTAAAAATCTACTGCGTCATCTAAACCGCATTGGCCAGAGAACTGTCGGCTTACTTGGAAGCAACTGGTTGTGCAATACGCGACATTGGTTCTCGCTTCCTTTGAATAGTCGATATAGCTACCGTGAATAAATAAATGAACAAATTAATAAATAAATAAGCACGAGGAATATCTGTCAGAATTCATCCCCTTAATGCGTGTTTATAAGGAAAGGAAGGAAAACTCAGTGGGACACAGCTAATTTTCATTTTCAATACTGAGACCGAAAAATATGCCATATACATATAACTCTGTACCATTATCCACGAGAAAAGCAGTCACTGGCTGCCACAGCTAGGACAATCACATCGGTTTTAAGACGCAAAACAGCAATCTATATTATTCGCATTCACTTTGCGAGAGCACGACATCATCTAAAAAGGAATGTCGGCATTTCTATAATTCAAAAGAATATAATACAGCTAGAGGTCACTAATAGAGTTAAAGGTCTAACAGAAAGTGGACAAGAAAATGTTCGAATTAAGCGAAGTTTGATTTACTAGGTGGGAGATTGAATGAACGAACGTCGCAGCATAATGTGCGGACAGGACCCAAAGAAGCCATCAGTAACAACATTATCAAGGTGCTGCTTTGTTTGTGGCACGTGATCTTCCATTGACAACAGGTGGCGAGACGAATGAAAACCTAATTTTTCTTGAAGGTCCGTAGACCGAAAGTGAACCCGAAATAAGAAATTCTCAGTATTGCGAAAATTGCAGATAATGTGAAATTTCTTGTTACATGGCGTTGCACGGAGAATAACTTTGTCTTTCACGTTGAAATCTATAATACGTTTATTTCTTGGTTGCCTGGAACTTGTAGACCCTTTATATTTCTGACTCTATACATCAGCTTCTTTTATAGTGCTCTTTCGTAAATTATTGCATGAGCCGGGCAAAAAAACGTTGCTTACCTTTGGTCCCAGTACGTCTGGTTGAGAGAAAGCTTGGAGAGTCTGCGAGTCCGAGTGACTCCACTTCTGTAAATTTTTGGCGAATGTGAATTCAGCTGAGTTATATTTTTGTTCTATTTTCATTAGTCCTATTCCAAGGGACATATTTTGTTGAGTGTGAGACCGGCTGAGTGATAATTTAGTGACTCCGATTATGATTGAGGCAGTTTGATTGAAATATTTGTGAGTGTGAGTGAGTTTGGTTGCAGACAATTTTCATGAATGAGTCTGAGCGAGTCTGCTGCAGCGAAATTTGGTGTGTCTGGGTCCGAGTGAGTCAAGTGCAAAATATTTTCATTGAGTGAGTCTGAGGGAGCTCTGTTCATTTTGCCGCCCTGTGACAGCATGTGAAAAAACCCCGGGTGCTCAAAACATCTATAGAAGCCCACTGCGGCGTGCCTCATGTTCATATCGTGGTAAAGGTACGTGAAACTGACATAATCTAGGGACCATAGTGAAACCCTTGAAACTAGTATTACACGTACTGTACATAAATTGAGAACGTCCAGCTTGAAATACTTTGCAATTATTAGGCATACTGAACCACACACACACACACACACACACACATATATATATATATATATATATATATATATATATATATATATATATATATATATATATATATATATATATATATATATATATATATATATATATATATATATTAGGTAATACACATCTATGCTGAAAAACAAAATGTTTCGCGCAACGTTTGCCAGTCCTGTGACTTCTAGTACGAAACGCAGTAATATCGCCTTTTGAACTTGTACTTTCGCTTTTCACGCCGCCGACTCCACCGCCTCCTATAAAGAGTGGCCGTGTGCGACCGTCGATGATTTACCCGGCATGCGTAAATTCCTTAAATGAAACAACAACTCCGTGCAGGGCGGGGCCTCGCCTCAATGGCTTAGGCACCATTTTTTTTTCTTTGCGGCATGGTGGTCACCGTTTACAATTCTTTATTTTTATCTCTCTCTCTCTATTTCTCTCTGGCGGTGCGAGCGCCGTTCTTTCGCGGTATGGGTTGTGCTGTTTCCATTGTGGCCAGAGGTGTGATACGACGATGCCCGAGCCTTTTGACCGACAAAACGTGATCGAAAAGTAGCTCTAAGGGTTACAACATCATGAAGACTGCTACTCCCACGGCTACCTGAAGTCGGATGATGGGCTTGAAAAGGCTCATCAGTGCCAGCATCCATAAAAAATACATGTGTACTTTTGGAAGTTCTAGCTCGTCCAAATTTGGTCAGATTTCCATGGGGTTTTCGGCACTGTATTGCTTTTTAGTATATGAAGAAAATTTTGCGCATACATTTTCTTTTCAGGTTTTTTTATTTTTTTATAAACCGGAGGAAAATATCCAGAAAAATTGTACTTGTGTTTTATCGCTCTTTTTTTCTTGTCTCTTGCAGACTATAACTCAATTATTGAAATTATTTCCGCAACATTTCCTCTTTTCTCTTTTTCTCAATGCTATGGTATACATTTAAGCAGATCATTCCGATGGTTCACATTTTACAGACTCAAAAGTGTTGTGTGTGCTTTCTGCGCGTATTTAAAAACCGCGCCTAATTCAACAGGCGCGACGTGGCACCGCCTGGTGCCACCTATGCTCAGCGATACTACACTCTACCACCAACCACTCATGTGGATGTATTCATGCGCCGCGGAAGAAAGAAATGGACGCGCTCACTGCGCTTGAAAGAGCCTTTTTTTCTAATGTGGGGTGGTAGAGGCGGGGGAGGATCGTAATGGTTTATTTCTTCCCGTTTTTGTATTTTCAAGATATTTATCAATCGTGCACCACGCAACATTGAAGATGAAGGCTGTGTGTGCGCTCCAAACACAAAGCAGCGTTTGGATGAACACTTTCTCAAAGCAGGGTCACCCTAGCAGGTTGTCCGGAAATGCTCGGTGTTCAGAGATTATTGTTACCAAAGTAGTTATTCCCTGACCGTGCCTAATCATCGCACTCAACGACGCAATGGCTTGATCTGGTGGCAAGAATAACCGCCATGGCTTCTGCAACAGAGAGACTTATCCGCGTTTGCTCCCTTAGGGCGATCGGGATGACGCTGATTCAATGACAAGAGCGATATTATCACTGCTTAGAAACTTCATAAGGAAAGGTAAACATATTTTCGGATTCAATAGCGCATTATATATACGCACACAAACACTCCCTGTTGTGTGTGTACAAACAGGGAGTCCCAGATAACCTGAGCATAGATTTTGACAACGAAAAGCACTTCAGAGACTAATTGAACTGAGCCATACTATTCTCACGGTCCTGTAGATACTCAGATATTTTTGTTTCCCCTTAGGGTAACTGCTTAATTCTATTTAATTACAAATTTTTTTCCATTACTGGCTAAAAACCCGAAATATGCCCATTGAGCTGTATAACACCTTCAGAAACCACCGACACAATTGTTTTCTCTAAGATATACGTGTCACACTGTTATTATTTTCTTTCGCCTTGTATAGAAGGCTCAAGAAACCTGAAAAGCCGCGTGACGGACCACGAGCGTGCTTTTGTCGATGCGAAAAAAAAATACAAGCGTAACACGTATCGTGCAGGAAACAATTGAGTTGGTAGTTTCTGAAAGTGCTGTACAGCTCAGAGATCAGATTTGGGAGTTTCCGCTAATAAATAAAAATTTTTGTAAATATATAATTAGCTTAGGGGGAAATAAGAAATAGTCCGAGTATCTACAGGCTAGTGTGAGTAGTATACGTTTGGTTGAATTTGCCTCTGAAGTGCCTTTTGTTTTAAAAATCTTGGCTCAAGTTGCCGGACAGCCTATATATATATGAAATGTTACTATGAATACGTTTTTCGTTCCACCGAATAACATTAAGTTTTTCGTGCACAAAGAGCAACGCACGTATCTCTCGTGTCTTCGAATCTTCTTTGAAAGGTATTTTCCCAAAGTAGCCATTCAATCTACGTGACTAAGTTGTCAATATGGCGGTGAAGCAGATCACAGGGTTTCAGAGACAAAACAATAGAAGCCGTGCCCGAAACGCACGTTATCTTTTTTAGAAAAGCTGCTTTTAAGGCATATTCAGTTGTTAATCGTAGTGAGATGATTCCGCCTACAAATAATAAATCTTGTAAGTTGTAAATACGATTGTAGGATGCCGTGACAATACAAAGTAGCATTCCAACATAAAACATAACTGTTCATTAGTGAAGTTGCGGCGGCGTCGCTAGCATGCCGACACTACTCGAAAGGTTAGAGTAACAATGATAACTTCCGAGTTTGGCAGTTCGGGTTTATAGCCACCAGTGGTGACGGAAGCCTCCGGTGACGCTGCGGTGGCGCGGTCACTTATCGGAGGCGTGTTGCAGGAAGTGGCCGTGTCACGCTGGGCTAGATAGATAGTGACGAGACGGAAAATGCGCAAGTTTGGGCGCAATGGTCGCCACATCACCCCCTGTGGAGTGTAGAACTCGCAGGGCCTGTAGAAATCTGGCAGGCGTACCAGACGACCAGAGCATCTCAAAGAAAGGAGCGGGCTGTGACGTCGGCGGCTGTAGATAGATGCCTGAGAAAGGAGTAGCACTGCCCCGGTTCGTTCGCAGAGAAGGATGCGGGCTTCAGTCGTTCAATCGAGATGCTGACGTCATTCCCGTTTATGCACAGAGTGACGTTCTTGTCGACACAATGGACA